AATTGTTGTGGTGGTTGAGGTGATAGTTGTGGCGGTTGAGGTAATAGTTGTGGTGGTGGTTGAGGTAATAGTTGTGGTGGATGTTGAGGTAATAGTTGTGGTGGTTGAGGTAATAGTTGTGGTGATAGTTTTGGTGGTGGTTGTGGTGGTGGTTGAGGTAATAGTTGTGGTGGTTGTGGTGATAGTTGTGGCAGTTGAGGTAATAGTTGTGGTGGTTGAGGTAATAGTTGTGGTGGTTGTTGAGGTAATAGTTGTGGTTGTTGAGGTAATAGTTGTGGTGGTTGAGGTAATTGTTGTGGTGGTTGAGGTGATAGTTGTGGTGGTGGTTGAGGTAATAGTTGTGGTGGTTGTTGAGGTAATAGTTGTGGTGGTGGTTGAGGTAATAGTTGTGATGGTTGAGGTGATAGTTGTGGTGGTTGAGGTAATAGTTGTGGTGGTTGTGGTGATAGTTGTGGTGGTGGTTGTGGTGGTGGTTGAGGTAATAGTTGTGGTGATAGTTGTGGTGATAGTTGTGGTGATAGTTGTGGCGGTTGAGGTAATAGTTGTGGTGGTTGTTGAGGTAATAGTTGTGGTGGTTGAGGTACTAGTTGTGGTGGTGGTTGAGGTAATAGTTGTGGTGGTAGAGGTAATAGTTGTGGTGGCGGTGGTTGTGGTGATAGTTGTGGTGGTTGTGGTGATAGTTGTGGCGGTTGAGGTAATAGTTGTGGTGGTTGAGGTAATAGTTGTGGTGGTTGAGGTAATAGTTGTGGTGGTTGAGGTGATTGTTGTGGTGGTTGAGGTAATAGGTGTGGTGGTGGTTGAGGTAATTGTTGTGGTGGTAGAGGTAATGGTTGTGGTGGTTGTTGAGGTAATAGTTGTGGTGGTTGAGGTGATAGTTGTGGTGGTTGAGGTAATAGGTGTGGTGGTGGTTGAGGTAATAGTTGTGGTGTTTGAAGTAATAGTTGTGGTGGTGGTTGAGGTAATAGTTGTGGTGGTTGAGGTATTAGTTGTGGTGGTTGAGGTAAAAGTTGTGGTGGTAGAGGTAATAGTTGTGGTGGTTGAGGTAAAAGTTGTGGTGGTAGAGGTAATAGTTGTGGTGGCGGTGATTGAGGTAATAGTTGTGGTGGTTGAGGTAATAGTTGTGGTGGTTGAGGTAATAGTTGTGGTGGTGGTTGAGGTAATAGTTGTGGTGTTTGAGGTGATAGTTGTGGTCGTTGAGGTAATAGTTGTGGTGGTGGTGGTTGTGGTGGTGGTTGAGGTAATAGTTGTGGTAGTTGAGGTAATAGTTGTGGTGGTTGTTGAGGTAATAGTTGTGGTGGTTGAGGTACTAGTTGTGGTGGTGGTTGAGGTAATAGTTGTGGTGGTAGAGGTAATAGTTGTGGTGGCGGTGGTTGTGGTGATAGTTGTGGTGGTTGTGGTGATAGTTGTGGCGGTTGAGGTAATAGTTGTGGTGGTTGAGGTAATAGTTGTGGTGGTTGAGGTAATAGTTGTGGTGGTTGAGGTGATTGTTGTGGTGGTTGAGGTAATAGGTGTGGTGGTGGTTGAGGTAATTGTTGTGGTGGTAGAGGTAATGGTTGTGGTGGTTGTTGAGGTAATAGTTGTGGTGGTTGAGGTGATAGTTGTGGTGGTTGAGGTAATAGGTGTGGTGGTGGTTGAGGTAATCGTTTTGGTGTTTGAAGTAATAGTTGTGGTGGTGGTTGAGGTAATAGTTGTGGTGGTTGAGGTAATAGTTGTGGTGGTTGAGGTAAAAGTTGTGGTGGTAGAGGTAATAGTTGTGGTGGTTGAGGTAAAAGTTGTGGTGGTAGAGGTAATAGTTGTGGTGGCGGTGATTGAGGTAATAGTTGTGGTGGTTGAGGTAATAGTTGTGGTGGTTGAGGTAATAGTTGTGGTGGTGGTTGAGGTAATAGTTGTGTTGTTTGAGGTGATAGTTGTGGTCGTTGAGGTAATAGTTGTGGTGGTGGTTGTGGTGGTGGTTGAGGTAATAGTTGTGGTAGTTGAGGTAATAGTTGTGGTGGTTGAGGTAATAGTTGTGGTGGTTGAGGTAATAGTTGTGGTGGTTGAGGTGATTGTTGTGGTGGTTGAGGTAATAGGTGTGGTGGTGGTTGAGGTAATAGTTGTGGTGGTAGAGGTAATGGTTGTGGTGGTTGTTGAGGTAATAGTTGTGGTGGTTGAGGTGATAGTTGTGGTGGTTGAGGTAATAGGTGTGGTGGTGGTTGAGGTAATAGTTGTGGTGTTTGAAGTAATAGTTGTGGTGGTGGTTGAGGTAATAGTTGTGGTGGTTGAGGTAATAGTTGTGGTGGTTGAGGTAAAAGTTGTGGTGGTAGAGGTAATAGTTGTGGTGGTTGAGGTAAAAGTTGTGGTGGTAGAGGTAATAGTTGTGGTGGCGGTGATTGAGGTAATAGTTGTGGTGGTTGAGGTAATAGTTGTGGTGGTTGAGGTAATAGTTGTGGTGGTGGTTGAGCTAATAGTTGTGGTGGTTGAGGTGATAGTTGTGGTGGTTGAGGTAATAGTTGTGGTTGAGGTAATAGTTGTGGTGGTTGTGGTGATAGTTGTGGTGGTGGTTGTGGTTGAGGTAATAGTTGTGGTGGTTGTGGTGATAGTTGTGGTGGTAGTGGTGATGGTTTTGGCGGTTGAGGTAATAGTTGTGGTGGTTGTTGAGGTAATAGTTGTGGTGGTTGAGGTAATAGTTGTGTTGGTGGTTGAGGTGATAGTTGTGGTGGTTCAGGTAATAGTTGTGGTGGTTGAGGTAATTGTTGTGGTGGTTGAGGTAATAGTTGTGGTGGTTGAGGTAATATTTGTGGTGGTTGAGGTGATAGTTGTAGTAATACTTATGGTGGTTGAGGTAATAGTTGTGGTGGTTGTTGAGGTAATAGTTGTGGTGGTTGTTGAGGTAATAGTTGTGCTGGTGGTTGAGGTAATAGTTGCGGTGGTTGTTGAGGTAATAGTTGTGCTGGTGGTTGAGGTAATAGTTGTGGTGGTTGTTGAGGTAATAGTTCTGGTGATAGTTGTGGTGGTTGTTGAGGTAAAAGTTGTGCTGGTGGTGGAGGTAATAGTTGTGGTGGTTACCGGTTCAACCCCTGACCAAGGTCACTAAAGTTACCGGTTCAACCCCTGACCAGGGGGTCACTGAAGTTACCGGTTCAACCCCTGACCAGGGGTCACTGAAGTTACCGGTTCAACCCCTGACCAGGGGTCACTGAAGTTACCCGTTTAACCCCTGACCAGGGGTCACTGATGTTACCGGTTCAACCCCTGGCCAGGGGTCACTGAAGTTACCGGTTCAACCCCTGACCAGGGGTCACTGAAGTTACCGGTTCAACCCCTGACCAGGGGTCACTGAAGTTACCAGTTCAACTCCTGACCAGGGGTCACTGAAGTTACCGGTTCAACCCCTGACCAGGGGTCACTGAAGTTACCGGTTCAACCCCTGACCAGGGGTCACTGAAGTTACCGGTTCAACCCCTGACCAGGGGTCACTGAAGTTACCGGTTCAACCCCTGACCAGGGGTCACTGACGTTAATCGGTTTAACCCCTGACCAAGGTCACTGAAGTTACCGGTTCAGCCCCTTGCCAGGGTCACTGAAGTTACCGGTTCAACCCCTGACCAGGGGTCACTGACGTTAACCGGTTTAACCCCTGACCAAGGTCACTGAAGTTACCGGTTTAACCCCTGACCAGGGGTCACTGAAGTTACCGGTTCAACCCCTTGACCAGGGGTCACGGGTCACTGAAGTTACCGGTTCAACCTCTGACCAGGGTCACTGAAGTTACCGGTTCAACCCCTGACCAGGGGTCACTGAAGTTACCGGTTCAACCCCTGACCAGGGGTCACTGAAGTTACCGGTTCAACTCCTGACCAGGGGTCACTGAAGTTACCGGTTCAATCCCTGACCAGGGGTCACTGAAGTTACCGGTTCAACCCCTGACCAGGGGTCACTGAAGTTACCGGTTCAACCTCTGACCAGGGGTCACTGAAGTTACCGGTTTATCCCCTGACCAGGGGTCTCTGAAGTTACCGGTTTAACCCCTGACCAGGGGTCACTGAAGTTACCGGTTCAACCCCTGACCAAGGTCACTGAGGTTACCGGTTCAACCCCTGGCCAGGGTCACTGACGTTAACCGGTTCAACCCCTGACCAGGGGTCGCTGAAGTTAGCGGTTTAACCCCTGACCTCTCCCCCCCTCCTCATCCCTCCTCCCTCTCCACCTCCTCCCCCTCTTCATCCCCCCTCCTCTCCCCCCCCCTCCCTCTCCACCTCCCCCCCCTCCTCATCCCCCTTCACAGTGGGCGGTGGCTCAGTCTCCACATCGGGGGAGGAAGAGGAAGAAGAGGAAGAGTGTGTGGCGTGGCGTGGTGTGGGTGGTGTTGGTGGTGTTGTGTGGGTGGCGTGGTGTGGGTGGTGTTGGTGGCGTGGTGTGGTGTGGGTGGTGTGGGTGGCGTGGTGTTGGTGGTGTTGGTGTGGGTGGTGTTGGTGGTGTTGTGTGGGTGTGGGTGGTGTTGGTGGTGTTGGTGTGGGTGGCGTGGTGTGGGTGGTGTTGGTGGCGTGGGTGTGGGTGGCGTTGGTGGCGTGGTGTGGGTGGTGTAGGTGGCGTGGTGTGGGCGGCGTGGGTGTGGGTGGCGGCGTGGTGTGGGTGGTGTGGGTGGCGTGGTGTGGGCGGCGTGGGTGTGGGCGGCGTGGGTGTGGGCGGGGTTTGCGCGGTGGCACCGCCCACCATGCAAGCGACGGGACGGTCGCTCCCTCCGGGCGCGCCCCCTTAGGGATGCCACGGGGATGCCCGGACCCCCCCCGGCTCACCGTCAGCCCCACCCCCTCCGGCCCACCACCACCGCCACCACCGCCACCACCGCCACCACCACCACCGCCACCACCACCGCCACCACCACCACCGCCACCACCGCCACCACCGCCACCGCCACCGCCGCTACCGTCGCTGCTTCTGCCTCTGCTGCTCCTCCTGGCCGGGGTGGTGGCCCCCCCTCGGCCTCGGCCGGCGGCGGTGGGGGGGGCGGCGGCGGCGGCGTGGGGGCCGCGGGGGGCGTTGGGGGGGGGCCGTCGTCCCCCCCCCAACGCGAGCCCCTGGCCGAGTTGGAGCTGGTCACCTACGAGGGATCGTGGGGGGTGGTGGGCGGCGGTGGTGGCGGGGGCGAGGGCGGCGTCCGGTACGAGACTCAGTCCACGCGCGCCACCGGGAGGTTCGCCCGGGCGGGGCCGCTGCTGGGGGCCGAGGGGGACGTGGTGCAGGTGGGTGGGGGGGGGGGGGGGGGGAGGGGGGGGGTGGTGGTGACCCCCGGCTGCACTGACCACTCGATCGTCCGCTCACTCGCTCGTCCACTCACCCGCCGAGCCACCCGCTCACCGACCCACTCATCCACTCGCCCACTCACTCATCCACTCGCCCACTCACTCGTCCACTCGCCCACTCACTCGCCCACTCATCCACTCGCCCACTCATCCACTCGCCCAATCACTCATCCACTCACCCGCCGAGCCACCCGCTCATCCACTCCCTCGCTCACCCGCTCCCTCGCTCGTCCGCCGACCCACTCACTCGCCCACTCATCCACTCGCCCACTCATCCACTCGCCCACTCATCCACCCACCCACTCATCCACTCCCTCGCTCGCCTGCCGACCCACCCACCCACTCATCCACTCGCCCACTCACTCATCCACTCCCTCACTCGCCCACCGACCCACTCACTCGCCCACTCATCCACTCGCCCACTCATCCACTCGCCCACTCATCCACTTGCCCACTCATCCACTCGCCCACTCATCCACTTGCCCACTCGCCCACCCACTCATCCACTCCCTCGCTCGCCCACTCATCCACTCGCCCACTCACTCATCCACTCCCTCACTCGCCCACTCATCCACTCGCCCACTCACTCATCCACTTCCTCGCTCACCCACCGACCACCCGCCCACCCGCCCACTCGCCCACTCGCCCACTCACTCATCCACTTCCTCGCTCACCCGCCGACCCACTCACCCACCTACCCACCCACCCACTCACCCACCCACCGACCCACTCACTCACCCACCGACCTACTAACCAATTCACCCTCCCAGCCACCGATCCACCAACCCACCCAGACCACCTTCTCACCCAGCCACTGACCCATTCAACCACCGACCCACCCATATGCGCCAAGCAAGGACATCTGCCGGACTATATAATTCCGGAACAGCGCATGATGGTGACCCATATCCTTGACACTAGGACCCACTGCGGAGCTGATCTGCCCTGCCCACCGACCATCGGCTTGTCATCTGTGAGATGCGTCTGCCATTCTTCCACTCCGGTGGTGGGTGTCCTTCGAGGACCCCATTCAAACCCCACAGTCGCCTGGTCTCAGCTAGCTGGAATGACATCATCGCTTGCAGCTGGGGTTGGCATCGTCACCCTCCTCCCCTCCCTCCCTCATGATTCTGTGGCAAAAATTGGTGAGGTTCAGGACTGTGGCTCATGCAGCTGCAGTGGCTGCATTGGGTATGCGGTCCAGACCTCACCAGAGACCCTGGCTGACTGAGGAGGTGTTCCGGCTGGCTCAGAGAAAGCGACAGGCCCACTCTCACCGTCTACAACATCCCACGTCAAGAGAATGAGGAGGTTTAAAGCATTCGTGACTGCTAGGATCCATACTCTTTGGTTCTATTGGGTAAAGTCACGTAGGTGAAAGTAAAATAACAAAAAATCACGACGTTTCGGCCACAACACAAGCGGCCTTCATCAGGTGAAGGGACGAGACTGTCTGGAGGACAGCGCTGGAGTGGAAGAAGCCACGCTTAGATCACGACCTTTAAGCTGTGTGAGAAGAAAAAGACCAAGCACCTTGACAAAGGAATTAGCATATAATTTAGCATTCAAATGGCTCATTGAAATAGCTAAGTTAAAGTATACACATCCGCAGAGGTACCCCTTGACAAAGGAATTAGCGCTGGAGTGGAAGAAGCCACGCTTAGATCACGACCTTTGTCAAGGTGCTTGGTCTTTTTCTTCTCACACAGCTTAAAGGTCGTGATCTAAGCGTGGCTTCTTCCACTCCAGCGCTGTCCTCCAGACAGTCTCGTCCCTTCACCTGATGAAGGCCGCTTGTGTTGTGGCCGAAACGTGATTTTTTGTTATTTTATTTTCACCTACGTGACTTTACCCAATAGAACCAAAGAGTATAGAATGAGGAGGCTTTTACCGCAGCCTTCGCTCGGAGGTTCGGAGAGCCGTGAGGCCGCTGCAAGGATGGGCGACGGTCGCGGGTCGCTGAGGAGATGAAATCTGCCTCGGTGGCCCGCGATCTCAAATCGCTCTTTTAACTCCATCAAAAAAGTTACTGGCAGCTACACACCTATCACCATCTCACGACCCCCAGTAATAGGTCTGCAGGTTTCCTGAGCATATCCGTGAGTTCTTGGCCAAGGAGAAATCCCTCAGCCTGGAAAACACTGCGGGGCAAAGCGGGGATGACCCTTCTGAGGCTGCTGCGCCTCAAATATTTGAGGGAGTAGCCACACCTTGTGAGTGGTTGAAACACGATGAGAAATCCGTAGTCTTGAGGCCAGGAAAAGCGCCAGGCAGAGATGATCTCCCAAGCGAAATGCTGAGGGAGGGTGGCGTTTGTGCACAGACTGCCCTATATGACATCATAACAACAGTCTGGACCACTGGACGGGTTCCGCAGGATTGGAAGGATGCCCTGGTGGGTCCCCCTCTTGAAGAATATTGTAACAACTGTAGGGGCATATTCCTCCTCGGTGTGAGGCCGGGAAAGGTCCTGGCAAGGATTATTCAACATTGCCCCTTCACCAGGCACGCTGAGGAGAGGCTTGCGGAGCCCCAATGTGGTTTCAGGAAAGGGTGGTCCTGCACAGATGCCATATTTTATGTCCGTCTGCTACAGCAGAGGTGTAGGGGATTTCCAACAGGACCCACATCTCTGCTTTATCGACCTGGTCAAGGCACTGTGGTACCATCAGCAGAGAGGGGGTTGCATTGCAGACTGCCCTATATGACAATAACAACAGTCTGGACCACTGGACGGGTTCTGCAGGATTGGAAGGATGCCCTGGTGGGTCCCCCTCTTGAAGAATATTGTAACAACTGTAGGGGCATCTTCCTCCTCGGTGTGAGGCCGGGAAAGGTCCTGGCAAGGATTGTTCAACATCGCCCCTTCGCCAGGCACGCTGAGGAGAGGCTTGCGGAGCCCCATTGTGGTTTCAGGGAAGGGTGGTCCTGCACAGATGCCATTTTTATCTGTCCGTCTGGCAACAGCAGTGGTGTAGAGGATTTCCAACATGACCCACATTTCTGCTTTATCGACCTGGTCAAGGCACTACGGTACCATCAGCAGAGGGAGGTTCTGCTATTGATGCCATATTTTATGTCCGTCTGCTACAGCAGAGGTGTAGGGGATTTCCAACAGGACCCACATCTCTGCTTCATTGACCTGGTCAAGGCGCTGTGGTACCATCAGCAGAGAGGGGGTTGTGTTGCAGACTGCCCTATATGACAATAACAACAGTCTGGACCACTGGACGGGTTCTGCAGGATTGTAAGGATGCCCTAGTGGTCCCTCTCTTGAAGAATATTGTAACAACTGTAGGGGCATATTCCTCCTCGGTCTGAGGCCGGGAAAGGTCCTGGCAAGGATTGTTCAACATCGCCCCTTCGACAGGCACGCTGAGGAGAGGCTTGCGGAGCCCCAAATGTATTTTCAGACCAGGGCAGCCCTCTAAAGATGCCTTAATATTAATTATCTGCCCGTCTGCTACAGCAGAGGTGTAGGGGATTTCCAACAGGACCCACATCTCTGCTTCATTGACCTGGTCAAGGCACTGTGGTACCATCAGCAGAGAGGGGGTTGTGTTGCAGACTGCCCTATATGACATCATAACAACAGTCTGGACCACTGGACAGGTTCTGCAGGACTGTAAGGATGCCCTGGTGGTCCCCCTCTTGAAGAAGATTGTAACAACTGTAGGGGCATCTTCCTCCTCGGTGTGAGGCCGGGAAAGGTCCTGGCAAGGATTGTTCAACATCGCCCCTTCGCCAGGCACGCTGAGGAGAGGCTTGCGGAGCCCCAAATGTGGTTTCAGGAAAGGGCGGACCTGCACAGATGCCATATTAATTATCTGTCCGTCTGGCAACAGCAGTGGTGTAGAGGATTTCCAACAGGACCCACATCTCTGCTTCATTGACCTGGTCAACGCACTGTGGTACCATCAGCAGAGGGAGGTTCTGCCATTGATGCCATACCCTCATTCCGCCTCCGGAAACTCCGGATTTCCCCCTCCACATTCAGAGTGGACGTCACGCGTTTAGGGTTTTCAGAGTTATTTTGGCTGCCGCTGTAGATTTCCACGTGATGATGACTTCAGCCACTTGATTCGGATATCATCAAAAAAGCCCCATGTTGCAGTGGGCCTTACCTGGTAAGATGAAATGATGTTTTGATGATGATGATGATGGTGTTGATGATGATGATGGTGGTGGTGTTGGTGGTGTAGATGCACCCGCTGGGGCTGTGCAACAGCAACGGTGACGATGTCCTCTACGAGTTTGGCTGGGTGGGAGTCATCAAGCTGGAGCCGAGACACAGCGACCCACACCCCTGCCAGAGCATACTCAACAAGGTGGGGGCACTACCGCTACACTATCACTACACTATCACTACACTATCACTACTAGACTACCACTACTACCACTACACTATCACTACCACTACACTACCACTACTACACTATCACTACTACACTATCACTACTACACTCACTACTACTACTACACTATCACTACACCACCACTACAACACTACTACCACTACACTACCACTACTACTACACTACCACTACTACACTATCACTACCACTACACCACCACTACTACTACCACTACGCTATCACTACTACTACACCACTACTACTACTACCACTACACTACCACTACTACACTATCACTACTACTACACCACCCCTACACCACCACTACTACTACCACTACACTACCACTACTACACTATAACTACTACTACACCACTACTACTACACTACCACTACTACACTATCACTACTACTACACTATCACTACTACTACACTACCACTACTACACTATCACTACTACACACTATCACTACTACTACACTACCACTACTACACTATCACTACTACTACACCACCACTACACCACCACTACTCCTACCACTACACTATCACTACACTATCACTACACTATCACTACTACTACACCACCACTACTACACTATCACTACACTATCACTACACTACCGCTACTACACTATCACTACTACCACTACACTACCACTACTACTACACTATCACTACCACTACACTACCACTACTACACTATCACTACTACTACTACTACACTATCACTACTACTACTACTACACTATCACTACCGCTACTACCGCTACCACTACTACACTATCACTACTACTACACCACCACTACTGCTACCACTACACTACCACTACTACACCACCACTACTACTACCACTACTACACTATCACTACTACTACACTATCACTACTACTACACTATCACTACCACTACACTACCACTACTACACTATCACTACTACTACACCACCACTACACCACCACTACTACTACCACTACACTATCACTACTACTACACCACCACTACTACTACACTACCACTACTACACTATCACTACTACTACACCACCACTACTACTACACTATCACTACTACTACTACCACTACTACTACACCACCACTACTACTACCACTACACTATCACTACTACTACACTACCACTACTACACTATCACTACTACTATCACTACTACCACCACTACTACACTATCACTACTAGTATCACTACACTATCACTACTACTACACCACCACTACTACTACACTACCGCTACTACTACACTATCACTACTACACTATCACTACCACTACACCACCACTACCACTACACTATCACTACTACCACCACTACCACTACTTCACCACCACTACCACCACTACCACTACACTATCACTACTAGACTACTACACCACCACTACTACTACTACACTATCACTACTACCACCACTACCACCACTACTACCACCACTACTACCAATACTACCACTACTACACCACCACTACTACTACTACACTATCAATACACTATCACTACTACCACTACTACTACCACCACTACCACTACTACACCATGACTACCACTACTACTACCACTAATACCACTACTACACAAACCACCACTACTACCACTACTACATTATCACTACCACCACTACTACCACTACTACTACACTACCACTACACTACCACTACTACCACCACTACCGCTACCACTACTCCACTACTACTACTTCCACTACTACACTACCACTACTACCACTACTACACGACCACTACACTACCACTATTACCACTACCACTACACTACTACTACACTACCACTACTACCACCACTACCACCGCTACTACACTGCTACTACTTCCACTACTACACTACCACTACTATCACTACTACACGACCACTACACTACCACTACACTACCACCACTACCAACCACTACTACCACCGCTACCATTACCACCGCTACCACTACTACACTACTACTACTTCCACTACTACACTACCACTACTACCACTTCCGCTACCACTACCACCACTACTACTACCACTACTACTACCACTACTACCACCACTACCACCACTAATACCACTACCACCCCTACACTACCACTACTACCACTACTACTACCACTACTACACTACTACCACTACTACACTACTACTACCATTACTACCACCGCTACCACTACTACACTACTATCACCACTACAACACCACCACTACACCACCACTACAACACTACCACTACACTACCACTACTACACCACCACTACACCACCACTACTACACTACCACTACACTACCACCGCTACCACTACTACTACCACTACTACACTACTACACCACTACTACTTCTACTACCACTACCACCACCACTACTACCACCACTACACTACTACCACCACTACTACTACCACTACTACACTACCACCACTACTACTACCACTACTACACCACTTCTACTACTACCACTACTACACTACCACTACTACACTACCACCACTACTACTACTACACCAACACTACTACACTACCACTACACTACCACTACCACCGCTACCACTACTACTACCACTACTACACTACTACACCACTACTAGCACTACCACTACTATACCACTACTACCACTACCACCACCACTACTACCACTACCACCACTACACTACTACCACAACTACCACTACTACTACCATTACTACCACTACTACACTACCACCACTACTACTACCACTACTTCACCACTTCTACTACTACTACTACCACTACTACACTACTACACTACCACTACTTATACTACTACACCAACACTACTACACTACCACTACACTACCACTACCACCGCTACCACTACTACTACCACTACCACCACCACTACTACCACTACCACCACAGCACTACTACCACAACTACTACCACTACCACTACTACCACTACCACCGCTAATACCACTACCACTACTACACCACCACGACTACATCACCACTACTACACCACCACTACTACTACCACTACCCCACCACTACCACCACTACTACCACTGCTACACCACCACTACACTACTATTACCACCACTACTACCACCACTACTACTACCACTACTACACTACCACTACCAGCACTACTACTACACCACTACTATCACTACTACTACACCACTACTACCACTACCACCACTACTACTACCACCACCACTACTACTACCACCACTACCACCACTACTACTACCACTACTACCACTTCTACACCTCTACTACACTACCACTACTGCCACCACTACCACCGCTACCACTACTACACCACCACTACTACCACTACCACCGCTACCACTACCACCACTACCACCACTATCACTACTACCACCACTACTGCCTCTACTACACCACCACTACTACCACCACTACTACCACCACTACTACTGCTACCACTACTACACTACCACTACACTACCACTACTACCACCACTACACCACCACTACTACCACTACTACCACCACTACTACTACCATCACTACCACCACTACTACTACACCACCACTACTGCCACTACTACACCACCACTACTACCACTACTACCACCACTACTACCACCACTACTACACCACCACTACACTACCACCACTGCCATTACTACACCACCACTACTATACCAGCACTACACTACCACTACCACACCACCACTACACTACCACAACTACACCACCACTACACTACCACCACTACTACCATTACTACACCACCGCCACTACACTACCACTACACCACCACCACTACACTACCACTACACCACCACCACCACTACCACCACTACCACCACTACTACCACTACTACCACCACTACTACCACCACTACTACACCACCACTACCACTACTACACCACCACAACTACACCACCACTACTACACCACCACTACACTACCACTGCTACCACTACTACACCACCACTACTACCACCAGTACACTACCACTACTACACGACCACCACTACACTACCACTACACCACCACTACACTACCACTACTACCACTACTACACCACCACCACTACACCACCACTACACTACCACTACACTACCAACACTACACTATCACCACTACTACCACTACTACACCACCACTACACTACCACTACACTACCACCACTACCACCACTACTACCACTACTACACCACCACTACTACACTACCACTACTACACCACTACACTACCAATACACCACCACCACTACACTACCACCACTACCACTACTGCACCACCACTACACCACCACTACTACACCACTACACTACACTACCACTACACCACCACTACACTACCACTACACCACTACACCACCACTTCCACCACTACACCACCACTACACTATCACCACTACCACCACTACTACATCACCACTACACTACCACTACACTACCACTACACTACCACTACTGCACCACCACTACTACACCACCCCTACACTACCACTACACTACCACTACACCACCACTACTACACTACCACTACACTACCACTACACACCCACTACCACCGCTACCACTACTCCACTACCACTATACTACCACTACTACCACCACTACACCACCACTACTACCACTACCACCACCACTACTACTACTACTACCACCGCTACCACTACTACCACTACTACTACCACTACTACACCACTACTACACTACCATCACTACCACTACTACTACTACACCACCACTACTACCACTACTACCACTTCTACACCACCACTACTACACCACTACTACACCACCACTACTACACTACCACCACTACTACCACCACTACTACTACACCACCACTACTATCACTGCTACACCACCACTACCACCACTACTATACCACCACTACACTACCACCACTACCACCCCTACTACCACTACTACACCGCCACCACTACACTACCACTACACTACCACTACTACCACCACCACTACACCACCACTACACCACCACCGCTACCACTACTACCACCACTACTA